AATGCGACCTATTGGATACTTAGATTGTACCAGCAATTTTATGGCCAGGAAGGTCCTTTCAAAAGGAATTCACATCAGCAGCGTGTGCGTAAAAAGGAGAGTATCCTGAAACTGATCAGATTATCATCGAAACTGTGTTAATGACCAAAATATTGAAATATTCCCAATGAGTGGCTTAATTCTGAGAATGAGAAACAGCGCCTTTTGACTGTGGTCAGTGATTCCTGCCCATGTTCTTCTTAGGGTAAATAGTAATAGAAATGGGATAAATAGTATACTTAAGACAATAAAAGACTTTAGAGAAAGAGAGGCTTGGTTTGAATCCAGCCAACACTCAGTTACTGCATCACTCGGCATCTAATTATTAGCCTTTATAAAAGCCTGAGCTTCACCAAAGGGGGGACACAGTCCCCATTCACTGGTTAAAATATGGATACACAATCCAACTCACTGATTACTGTACGAACTAAACGTGACTTGTGATTTCACTTATGTGGGGAACTGAAGAAATAAAACAAATGAGCAAACAAACCCAGAAACAGACTCATAAATACCGGGAATAAACTGGTGTGTGGGGGCGGGGGGGCAGGTGAAGGGGATTATAAACTTCCAGTTATAAAATAAACACGTCACGGGGATGAAAAGTACAGCATAGGGAATATAGTCAATAATACCGTAATAATGTTGTAGGGTGACGGATGGTGACTACACTTACTTGAGCACTGCATATAGAATTGCCGAATCACTATGTTGTGCACCTAAACTAATATAACATGGTGTATCAACTGTACTTAAATTAAGAAAAATTGTTCTTTTTTTTTCTTTTTAAGAAAAAATTTTTCTAAAGAATTATATCTGACTCACATTGTAAAACACTTTCAAGATGGTGGCATACAATAAGGGCTCAGTAAAAGACAGCTGCTGATATCATATAATATTACTATTGCTATTGTTAACATTGTTAGGCATTCCCTCATATACAAGATATCCAGATAATTAATAAGAAGCTATGCCAGGTGCAGAAAAACAATGGTTAATAAGCTAAACAGAAGGACATTTTCATGACTCAGAGCATGTAGATTTTTTAAATAGGATACACAAGGCACTACCCATTAAGGAAGACTGGAGAAATGACATACATTAAATTTAAAAAGTCAGCCTAACAAAGGATACCTTTAACAGAGTAAAAGGCTAGCCACAGAGTGGAAAAAGATATTTGCAATGCATATAATCAACAAGGATTTGATACACAAAGTACGTAAAGAACTGCCATGAATCATTGAGAGACAACACAACAGAAAAATAGGCAGGAATAAGCACTTGAAATAAGCACTTCACAAAAATGATACTGAAATGGTCATTAAACCCTCAAAAAATGTGCTCAGCTTCATACAAATAGCTTACAAGTGAAAAATAAAAGATCTGACAATACCAAGTGTGGACATGGATAAGGAACACCTGGCATTCTCCTAGGCTGCCGATGGGAGCATAAATTATTTCAATCATTTTGGAAACTGTTTGGTAGCTATTTACTAAATATGAATGTGTACATTTATCCCATGATACAGCAATACCAGTCCCAGGTATACACCACCAGAAATGTGGACAAACATATCCTGAACACAGATATAAGAGTACTTTAGCAACATTGCTCATGATCCCCCCAAATAGGGATCAACCCAAATGCACCTATGGAAAGGTTGCTACACATCCCAGTAGCCTGAATCTATTGCAATTTATACCCGTTATCCTGGCATAATTGTTAATGGAGCTGGTATATCTGTCAAAACCATCAAGTCTCTAAAGTGTCCTGATGAGTTCATCAGTGCAAATGGGGAGAGTAAGGCCCTCAAAAAACTGCTCCTCTGTAAAATCAGTAACACCGGCAAAAACAGCCAAAATCAACTTTTTCAGAGTTCTGGCAATTAATTAGGTCTTGCAACAATCTTAGGTACTTCTTTGGAAAAAGTGATAGCTGAATCTCAGTAAGAATAGCAAGCTTTGAGGACATTTTAGCTTGCCTTATTCTCATCTTCATCTCCCTATCTCCAAAATCATGTGAAAAACAGCAGTCTAGCAATTTCTGAAGGGGGCAATGAGTTCCCACAAAACAGCATTCTCAGAGAACTGTCATTATTTGACCTGTCTGACAGTTCACAGAAAACCTCCATTCACAGGGCTTGTTGCAATTTGACCTCAGAATTCACTTGTCTTTACTCCAAAGGGAGTTTATGAAAAATAATCAGTAAGAACTGTTTAATATTGCAGCTGCCTGAGGCAGTGATGACAGTTGGGGCAAACGAGGTAGCTGACCAAGAAACTTTTTAAAAAGCTGAGGAATAAGATATTCATAAGTTATCCATAGTTCTGGAAATCTAGAAAGTCACATACATGTATAGGACTGTACACACATCCACAAAACCCTGAGAAGGCTCTAGGCTCACTCCTCTGGCTGATCTTGAGGCTCTGTGCAAGCAGAGGTGAAGGCTAAGGCAGAGTTGTTAACTAGCTCCCTGACTGCTGAAGACACGGAGATCCTTGGGAAAGACTGGAAGTCTAATTGCTTCCAGGCATCTGAGGAAAGCTCTCCAATCATTAGCTGACTACTAAGCTAACTGAGCAGAGGCTTCAGTGTCCACACATGACAAAGAATAAACATTTTATAGATTTCAGGAAAGTCACTTAACAAATAAGCAATAGTGTCAACAATCAACATCAATAAACCCTGGGGGTGAGGATGGGAAGATCCGGTTTCAAGAGTCACCACATTATATTCTTCAAATTGTAGTTTTCAACCAAGTATGTACGAAACATGCAAAGAAACAACAAAGCATGGCACATACACAAGAAAAGAAGCAGTCAGTAGAAACTGTCACTAAGGAAGTTCAGATGGTAGCTTGCTTGACAAAGATATTAAATCAATTATTTTGAATATACCCAAAGAACTAAAGGAAATCATGTCTAAAGAAGAAGTATCAGAATGATATCTCACCAAATAGAGAATATCAAGAGAGAAATTTAAAGAAATTTTTTTCAGAGAACCAAATACAAATTCTGGAGTTGAACTGTAGAATAACTGAAGTGAAAAAATTTACCACAGGGGCTGGACAACAGGTTTGAACTGGCAAAAAAAAAGAATCCATGAACTTAAAGTAGGTCAACTGAAATTATCCAGTGCATGAAACAAAACCAAAAAAGAACGAAGAGAGATGAACAGAGTTTCAGTCGCACTTAATGGTGCACTTTGCGACTAACATAAACATAATGGAAGTCCCAGAAGGAGAAGAGAGAAATGGACAGGAGGACTACTGGAACAAAGGACAGCTGAAAACTTTCCAAATGTGAATTAGACACACACACCCACACCTCCAAGAAGGTCAATGAATTCCAGATAGAATAAACTGAAAGAAATGAATACTTAGAGACATACCATAAACTGTTTAAATACAAAGACAAAAAGTAGCAACAGAGAAGCAACTCATTTAATGCATTGGTTTTTAATTTTAAGTAGGCTCCACCCCCAACATGGGGCTTGAACTCCCGACCCTGAGAGTAAGAGTCACATGCTCTGTGGACTGAGCCAGCCAGGTGCCCTGAGAAGCAACTCAACTATACAAGGGATCCTCCTAAGATTCAAAGTTGATTTCTCATCAGAATCCATGGAGGCCAGATGGCAGCACAATAATATTTTCAAAATACTACAATTAGACTGTCAATCAAGAATTCTATATCCAGCAAAGTTATCCTTCAAAAATGAAGGAGAAATGAAGACATTCCCAGATAGACAAAAGTGTCCTGGCTTGGATGATAAAATACACATATTCACTCTACCCAACTAGTTGCCTGCATGTGTGTATGTGGGTGGGGAGTGGCTTGTAGGGTGCTAGAAACTTCTGTTTCCTGACCTAGGAGGTGGTTACGTATTTACTCTGTGATACTTCTTGGAGCAAAACATTTATGTTTTGTACACTCTTCTTTACGTGTTTTATATCACTGATTTAAAGAAAGAAAAAAACAGATGTTTTTGCCTGTTCACAAATAAATGACCACTTTCTTACTTTAATTGCCCAAATGGAAATAACTTAGGGGCCAAACCTGGAAACTCGGTGAAATCACCTATTACTCTTTTCCATGCCTTTGATCCAGCTCTGTCTTCTGCATGGAATATTCTGTCCATTTCGCCCAATTCATCCCTATTCACCCTTTAACATTAATGGTCAGGCTTTCCTACCCTACAAAGATCTATCCACATGTCTTTCTCCCACATCACATGTGAACAATTTTAAGAATAGGAACTGTGTCAAAATCTTCTTGTTCTCAATAGCACTGTGCAAAGCATGTAGGCAGCATAGAGTAAAAGTGGGAGGAATTCATGCATCATGGAAACACATGAAGGAAGTCTTCCTAACTAACACAACAAAAAGTTCTGGTAGAGTGCACCACAACCAACCAAACCCAAACGATTCCCTACAAAATTAAATGCTAATCCTGAAGTGATTAGCTGGTTAGTATTTTTTAATACAATTAACACTCAAACTTCAAGAACACTGAGTACAAATTTCTGATAAGATGAGGAAGAGAAATTATCTGGGTATAACTAATCATTTCTGGGATGTCATTATTTTACTTTATGAGTAATATTAGAAGAGAACATTACGGTAAAAAATTTTGACAGCTCAAATAATTTCTAAATTAAGGAATTCATCATCTCTTTCTAAGTCTCTACACAAATGGTATTGAGTCTACACTGGCAAACAGGGCAAGTTTCTCAAAGTCCACTCATGCTCTTCCCTGGGCTTCCCTTAGAACACTCTGGGTGAGTTCTCTCATTTCTGAATTCAGTGTAAATGTGTATTTTGTCATTGATCGTTCTTGTTTTTATAATGAGCAAAAAGATAAAACCCAGCACTAAAAAGAAAACAGGGTGGGGTACATAGGCAGGAGAGGAAGATATCTGGTTCAGAGGTTTGAAATGCCCTGAAAGGAAGTGCCCAACAAACCTGAAAGAGGAAGGCATCACCCAGGGAATTGCTGAGGCAGAAGACGAAGTCCTTCTTGGGGTGCTCAGGCACAGCCTGCACAATGCTGTTCTCCACCCAGACGGCATGCTTAGGGATGCTGTTGTGGTCTATTCCAGACCTGCCGTCGCTCTCGTAGAAAAAGAGTGTGCACCCTGAGGAAACAAAACAGGGGTCCGCATGAGTGTTCAGTGCTTGTACAATGAGAGGTCGGTGGTGGAAACTAGCACTTCTGTCCTGTCACAAGGAGAGGGCTGCAAATTAAAGCATGTGGAAACCTAGAGAGTAAAGAGAATGAGGCCTTGCTTGTCTTGAAGTCTTGGATGGACTGAGAGAAAAAGACAGAGAGAGAGAGAGAAAGAGAGAGAGCATGAGCAGGGGGAGGTGCAGAGGGAGAAGCAAACTCCCCGCTGTGCAGGAAGCCCAATGAGGGACTCGATCCCAGGACCCTGGGATCATGACCTGAGCCAAAGGCAGATGCTTAACCGACTGAGCCACCCAGGTGCCCCAAGAGGCAAAGACTCTTAAAGCACAGTTTCTCAACTCACACGAAACTCCCTCCATGCATGTCCTCAAGTTCTTTAAGACCCTCGCTTTCTCTTTTAGAGTGTTTCATTACAGGCATATGGCAGTCTTACGGCTCCTTCGGCCAGTGGGGGCTAGAAACCCGGCTCCACGGGTCAGAACTGCAGGTTCCATGGTGTGAGGCCTGCCAGTCAGTAGGGAACCACTGGACTCCCTTCCCAATAGCTCACATGATATACAACCAGGCGACACAATTTATTGCGTTTCTTGGCTATGCCCTTGGAGAAAACCATTAATAATATTAGTGTTAGGTATTTTACGGATAAGGAAAGAAATGATAGGTTTTTGATCTCAAATACTCTACAAAATGTTCTTCTACAAATAAACCATGTCCCTGTTCCTACCGAAAGAAGAAATGGCATGGCACATGCCATATGAAGGCCTGGGGGTGGGGGTTCTGGAAGCCTGGTCCACGCTTAATTGCACTGGGAAACTAATGAGACAGTTACAATAAAAACCTCCCAGAGATTTGTGGCAAGGTGGCCTTAGTAGATACCCTCCATCGTCACCTAAACGTAAGACTCACTTTCATAGTAATTACTAGCTGAACATTTACTGCCAACTAATCAAAACCAATTTCAGGGGAAGCCTGTGTCCAACCTTATGAGTCTTTCTTAACTCTGTCGGTTTTCAACATCTTAACCACCAGCAAGGGCCACACTTTAAATGTGAACAGCAAAGTCCTTGAAAGTACAATCTACGAGTTTTCATAGAAAGCTACAATACAAGTTTTCATAAAGCAAATTTGCTTCTATGTGATTAGCAATGTGGAATGATGGGGATCGATGGAAAAGTCCCATGAGTTCAAAGGCAATGTCTCCCAGCCCATCATATTTCACATCTGTAGGTTAACAGCTGCTGAGTGCAAATCCCCAAACTCAACTAAATGCCATGTCCACTCGTGTCACAATTTCTCCCTTGGCAGAGTTTCCCAAAAGCTTTCCTTACAAGTCCTGTTGTATGGGCGCCTGGGTGGCTCAGTTGGTTAAGCGACTGCCTTCGGCTCAGGTCATGATCCTGGAGTCCCGGGATCGAGTCCCGCATCGGGCTCCCTGCTCAACAGGGAGTCTGCTTCTCCCTCTGACCCTCCCCCCTCTCATGTGCTCTCTCTCTCTCAAATAAATAAATAAAATCTTTAAAAAAAAACAAGTCCTGTCATATGGTGCTCCTGAGCTTTATGATTTCTTCATCACTGTCTTGGTCTCAAGAATTCAGGAGTTTCAATTCTTCTTTCTACCTATTCAAGTTATATTTACTTTGTCCTTAAAGGCGAAGTCCCACATTTTCTATAGTATTTATTGTTAAAAAGTAAGATGTTAACTATGTGAGTATTTTTAGCCAGGTATTTAGTTATCTATCTCTCTATCTATCTATCTATTTAGTGTTGGGCTAAAAAGTTGCATACACAGAATTCTGCCCCAACCTTATTCTTCCCATAATCCCTGTTATTTTGAAGGTCTCAGGTCTTTTCAGAAACACATATAACATACTGCAGAATTATCTGTACCTATTTTCACTTCTTAAGCTCGCATAGATTGAGAGATAAATATAGGAAAGAAAATGGAAAGGGGATGCTATTTTCCTCCAAATTGGAGGTTCTTGAAGTGGGGCAATTTTGCCCTTGAGATCAAGGACATCTGGTGATGTCTGGAGACATTTTTGGTTGTCACTGGGTGTGGGGGGAATGTGGGGAGGTGGGTGCCACTGACATCCAGCAGGTAGAGGACAGGGATGCTGCTAAACATCCTGCTGTGCCCTGGATAGCATCCCCACAACAAAGAATTATCTGGAAAATGTCAATAGTGCCCCTGTTGAGAAATCCTGCTCTAATCTTTAGGACTAACACGACACTAATGATTAGCAGATTCTGAACAGAAAAGGAGCAACACAGCTATACCGTAGGTTGAGGAGAGAGAATGAAGGCTGTGGATAATGAAGAGGAGCCATCCACAAACCTTGGCATGTACGAATGTTGAACATTTTACAGTCTTCTCAAATTGCTGTTTTTATAATTTTGCAATGTTGGTTTACAATCACCCATGACAGAGGTGGTTAAAATCGGCTTTTACTCTAATTTTCTGCTTGTTTCGGTGTGAAGATGAACATGAAGCAGCAAATCCAGGAAGCGCATCTCCCTGAAAGCAGTCCATTTGCCTTCACCTTCACTTGAACGTCATCTGTATGCTCAGTGGTTGCCGAAAGAGATGCCCCAGAGATTAATTCTAAATGAAATCTTTTTTTAAAAAAATTAATTATTCTGTCTAAAGTGGAAGAATCTTTGGAGAAATCTACCTCACAGCTCCTAGGCACTCTGCTTTTTTATTTCTCGATATCCGACGGTTGCCAGGAAAAAGCAGCATGCTCTGCCTCTGAATGGCAAGGACCAGCCCCGAGCAGGTCAGTATATAATGGGAACTCATTAGGATTAAGAAATGAAGGGCTCAGTGGCTCTGTGTTCTGGGCCTGGATCCTGACAGACTGTGTCACTCAAATCTGCGTCACCAAGAACGGGAAGGCTCCCTCCTCCAACAGGCTCTTGAGTTGTTGCTCCAAGATGTTGCACCCTGCCTTTGAGTACCCTTTATTCTCTAAGGCAATGGCAGAAACAAAACAATGCCCTCTTCCACATCCCGAGTAAAAAAAATCGCTTAGTTACTGTTAGTCTATGACACTAACACTGGTGTTCTCAAATGTAGCGTAGGAATCACCTGGGAAGCTTGTTTAACACACAAATTCTGGGCCTGTCATGGGCTGAATTATCTTGCCCCAAATTCCTATGTAAAAGTCCTAATCCGGTACCCCAGAATGCGACTGTATTTGGAGTTAGAATCTCTACAAGGGTAATTACAGTAAACTGAGGTCAGAGGAGTGGGCTCTAACCCAATCTGACCACTCTCCTTCTAAGAAGGGGGAATCTGGACACAGACAGGCAGAAGGGGAAGGCCATGGGAAGATACTGGAAGAAGACAGCCATTTAGAAGCCAAGGGGACAGGTGTCACACCAACCCCACTCCCACCTTGATCTGTCCCAGCTTCCAGAATTGTGAAAAGATACATTTCTTTGGTTAAACCATTCAGTCTGTGGTACTTGGTTATAGTGGCCCTGATACAGGGCAGAAGAATACGCCTTCATTTTTCTGCAGGAATGTGGGCCTGGTGGTGAGCTACCTTGACCACAGGGACTAGATCTGGGAATAGCAGAGTAAGGAGACAGAAGGAACCTGGGACCTGGATGACTCACAATAACTTCAGATGGTCTACCTCTGATGGACGGGAAGGAAATCAGTTCTATCTCGCTTACCGCATCATCATTGTGGGTCTCTGCGACATGCAGTGAAACATTTGGTCTAATTAACAAGCTCCCCTCCTGTCTCACTGACGCACTGAAGCAACACTTGGCACTACCAGTAAAGGAACCAACTACACCTTGCTTGCCCTGCAGGGGTTGACCTGCGCATCACTGTGCAGACTCTATAATGTTCTATGGCCTCTAGGATTGGATGTTCTCACACCAACAGCTAATGAGATTGAGTATCAAATGGTCTAGAAGGTACACCACACCTGGGAAGCCCAGACTTCCTCCTGTGCTTATCCTTCATGCTTGTTAACCTATTGAACCTGTCCTGCCATATCCTAAACCAGTTTCAAATTTGGCTTGTGCCATAGAAGATCTAAGTGACTGCCTTTGGCTCAGGTAATGGTCCTGGAGTCCTGGGATCGAGTCCCACATCGGGCTTCCTGCTCAGCGGGGAGTCTGCTTCTCCCTCTGACCCTCTTCCCTCTCGTGCTTTCTATCTCTCATTCTCTCACTCAAATAAATAAATAAAATCTTTAAAAAAAAAAAAAGATCTAAGTGGGCTGGGCTCCAAGTATTCTTTTTAAGACACGGAGCTCACTAATTTGTTACAACTTTTATCCTACTAAGATGTATGTAGACATGCACAATAGTATATACACGTACTTCAAAAGTATGACAATGAATTGCAACATATAAAAGTATTATGCTTTTAATGAAAAGGCAGTGATCTCTCCACATGTGTATGTATCTACACACACACACACACACACACACTCTCATATATTCACAGTATGACCATAAAACAGTTACTTTGTCACAAACCTAAGATGGTTCAGACACTCTATTAAGCACTAGGCTGAACCTTATGAAATTAGTGATATTCTACCATTTTTAACCTACAGAAACAGTCATTTCATAGGATTCAGATGAACAGGTTTGCCTCCTAAATAGTCATTTTAGGACATACTTCACTAACATGAATGATTAAAAAAATTTTTTTTTCCTTTTAGAACATGTCCCTCAAAACTGTCATGAGAAGCAGCTATGTATATAGAAGGAAACTCGATGTGCCGCGTTCCTCTGGCTTAACTGTGAACAAGTAAAGAAAACAAAACAGCGCTGGTGCGGAGGGGGACGTAAGGAATTACTGAACAATCAAGGATCAGAAAGTTTCAGTTAGGAGAGATGATTACGTTCTAGAGATCTGCTCTACAGTCCATGATAAAGGCACGTACACCTAAAAATGTAAGCAGGGAGATCTCATGCTAAGCATTCTCATAACAGTGAAATACAGTTGGTTAAAACTGGTATAAAATACAAACGCCATGTCATCACAAAACATCCCGTACGCAGGTGCACCATGGCGTGCAAGGTGCACCATGGCGCCATGGCGCATCACGACCGGGGGAAGGGGCGCTCCCTCTCCTTACCTTTCAAGGACACCCAGTAGTGCTTCCACTTCCGCCGGGTGGCCGACTCCACCTTCTTGTTCTTCTTGTGCACCAGGAAGTTCTTGACGGCCAGAGCCCCGGCCTTGCGCACCGTGCCTTGCGCGGCCGTGAGCAGGATGTCCGACTGGCCCGGGGAGCTCAGGGTGCCGCTGCTCTGCTCGTCGCTATGCGCCGAGCCCGCCTCCTCCAGGCTCTCGCTGTTGGTGGTGCTCATCTCCAGCTCCCGCCGGAAATTCTCGTACACTCCCTGGCGGGCCGCATCCCCGGTGGAGCTGCTGCCGCTGTCGCTGCCCACGAAGGCACGGCCAGTGGGGGGCGAGTAGCTGGAGTTGGTGGCATTGGACCGTCTGGACAGGAGGTCCGTGTCTGTGGCGGCCCCTTCGATCCCACTGTCCGCAAACTCACTGCCCTCGCCGGCATTAACATCCTTGGGAGCAGAAAGGGAGAAAAGGAGGACAGGCATCACGCAGAGAAGTAAGCCAGGGACTGTGTAGCCTGCAGAGCTGCAGGGGATCCACAGGGCACTGCTGCTCCTGACCTGTCCCAGACCAATTCCTCCTCAACCCCCGGACCTGAACAAACCCAACTTGCCCGCACAGTGGCTTGGGTAAAACCATGAAGCCGCCCTGGCATGAATGCCAACAATCTGGAACGTTCAAGAAATATATATTATTAAAGAACAGGGAACACTTCCAAGAGCTTATCATTTATTGGACTTAGATAATTAACTAACTGGCAAATCAGCTATAGATTCTCCCAGGGCCATGCTGAGAGAGCTCAACACCCTTGCCCTCATCAGCCTGCCCAAAACACCGGGAAATTCTGCAGGCTGATTAGCTGTTGCAGGGGTACAGGGTTACAATGGATAACAAGGTCTTTGCAGCTACCCTTTCTTATAAATAAATAAATAAATAAATAAATAGCCTGGTTAAGAGTCTGTTTTATAATGTGGCCACTAAAAAGATAACTAGCACACCGCCTCACCCACTCACCCAGCAAGGACCCAGGTCCCACGAATAGGCAAGAGTCCTCGGGCTGTAATCAGCCTCACTTCTTGAAAACAAGCAGCCTCTCACTCTGCATAGAGCTAAATAAGTCTGTGGGGCCCACAAGCTCCAAGGCAGGCTCTCCAATTACCTTGCCCTTTCAAAGCCGGGATGCTAGGAGCCTGAAGCAAGCTACTCACTGCCCCTCGGCCAAGTGACAGCTTAGGGCAACTGCCAACATGCGGGGGTATCAATTCCCAGTTTAAAAACATTTGGAAGTTGCAAAGCACTGTCTCTGCTCTCAAGTTGAACATTTCCGGGACACAGGTCTGTTCTTAAATCAGAAGCTTAATTACTCTGAAGTGCTACAGGCATATCCATAAACAATAATTAAATAATGGTAATAATCAAGGAGGGATAATGACAATAATATTGGACAGGCCAGCTCAATGGAAATTAGACTGATTTTTCTCAAAGGAAGACAACAGGAACATGGGTCTGACATAGGAGATGGCAAAGTAATACACAGTGTGGGGATTTAACCACTTTTGAGCCTTCAGTCATACAAGCATCCAATTATGGTTCGAAAATGTACAAACAGACTATTCTGAGTTGGCATAAAAATGAGTGCTTTGGGCTCAAATATTTGCTGAGAGGCAATGGGGCAGAATGAACCAAGCCACAAACTGACACGGTCCTGCACAAGGCCCAGACGGGTGCTGTGCCCGTATCTCTAAGCATCTCACTTGGTCAATTCAAACTGAGGGCCTCAAACTTCACTTCACCTTCGTCATGAAGAGATACTAAGTGAACGACTAAAAGATGGGCATAGACAGATGTGACAAGCAAGAGGCGACACAGAAAGACAGATGCTGCATGATTCACTTATATGTAGAATCCAAAAATGTTGAATTCACACAACAGAGAGTGGGACAGTGGTTGTCAGGGGTGGGGGTGTGGGAAATGGGGAGATGGTGGTCAAAGGGTACCAACTTTCAGTTATAAAGTTAGTAAGTTCTAGGGGCACCTGGGTGGCTCAGTCAGTTAAGGGTCTGCCTTTGGCTCAGGTCCTGATCCCAGGGTCCTGGGATCGAGCCCCGCGTCAGGCTCCCTGCTCAGCGGGGAGTCTGCTTCTCCCTCTCCCCCAACTCATGCTCTCTCTCTCTCTCTCAAATAAATAGATAAAATCTAAAAAAAAAAAGTTAGTAAGTTCTAGGAATCTAATGTGCAGCCTTGTGGATATAATTAATACTGCACTGTATATTTGAAATTTGCTAAGGGAGTAGATCTTAAGTGTTTTCACCATACACACAAAAAAAGGTAATTATGCAAGGTGATGGATGTGTTAATTAACTTGATTGTGGTAATCACCTCACAATGTATACATATATTAAATCATTACATTGTGCACCTTCAAAACAAACAAATAAAAAACCAACAACAAGGAGAACAGTATGCAAAGGGAGGAAAATGAGTAATTTCACAGTAGATGGATCTGGCCAATACTACCTCAGCCAGGTATTCAAGGTTAACTGGGAGCCCTCCTTATTATCTAAAACTGTTCTTAAAAAAAGAAAGAAAAGAAAAAGCAAGGAGGGAAGACAGCAGCAGGAAGTAGTTAAGAGAGCTTTGGGGGACCAACTGCATTTCCGATGGAGTTCAGATCCCTGGGATTTCGAGGGGCTTAAAGAAACTGTGGGTGCGGCTCAGGGGCGCAGCCCCGTAACTGCTCATCCCATCACTTTGCCATCTGCCGTCCCACCAGGGTCATGAAGGACCCAGATCCAGTGGGTAAAAATTCTCCATACAGACAGGAAAACATGGTTAAGAGCTCCCATTTCTCCCGGCAGGGACATTGACCATGTCAACAAGACAATAAGTAACTTTGCCCCAACTGATGATTGAAGACAACCGTGAGTCGAGGGAGATGAAGAGTGTGTGAATTTCCTAAACATCTGGATTCATTTTCATGTGTCTCAGTCTTTCCCTGGAAGAAATGAAGGCATCAGTTACAAGTTCCCCTCTAAAATGCAAAGAGGTGAGAAGCGTCTCCATTTAAGACAGGGAGAGAGAAGCTATGCCAGTAACCTCCCTGGTCCATAAGAGAAAAAACCTCAGAACAAGGGAGAGAATGGACTCAAGGCATCTTGTAATTCCCAGAGCTCTAGAATAGGAGGGAACCTTGCAAAGCCATCCCCTTGATTAATGGCTGAGGACGCTGGGGCTCAGAAAGTCACAAGCCTGGCTGGCGGCCGACTGGGAGTCGGAACCCACCTTTCCAACTATTATATGGCAGCCCCACTGCTCAGTTGCAAGTAGCACCTGGCCAGGTTCTGTCTAAATAGTCAACCCCATGCCTTACCCTTTTTTGTCAACAAGGCCCTTTCCAGGTTTTCCCAGCAAAAGCTAGGGGACTATCTATCTGCCTTGACTTGCCAGGCAAAGAGCTCAAATCTCAAAGTGGAGATAAAGGGAAAGAGGAGATGAAAGAGGAGGGAAACACACAGAGACGAGACCAGCCAAACCCTCAAGAGCATGTGTCTTAACAGCCTCTGACTTTCCCACAAACTATTTACCCCTCTACAGAATACCTTAGGGCCTCTACAGAAACTAAGAGTTAAGGCCTCGGTAGACACTCACCTCCTCTCTGCCAGACCTCAACATCTGCTCGTGCTGCTATAATCTTGCCATGGCCCAGGCTCTGTGTGCTCAACTCTGGGATGGCCACTGACCTGAGCAAAGACGTGATTACTCCAGGGAAGAGGCCTGCAGGCCCTAGCTGACCTTCCATACCCTTGGAGCACACAACCTGTGTAACCGCTGGGGAATGCTCTGGATCTATTATCCAAGCCGACTGCACCTTGTCTCCACAAGTGGCTAAGCAGGCTCGGTGCTAGACGTCCCCCACTGATATGTCACCCAGCCTGTTGGGAAACATGTGCGTTGCCCAGCCCCAGCCCCGATTTGGTCATGAAGCTTGCGACGTCCCAAATACCCAGAGGCCCTGGGCTCGAGCATCATGGGAAATGAGGACTACCTAACCAGAGGCGCTACTCAACACCGGAACGGTCGACGAGAGGCTCGCATGCACCCGCCACCTCCAACGTTAGTGTGGGAAAGAATCATCTGTAGAACCATCTACCCAAATGCCTAAGTGCCACACGAGAAACGCAAATTTAGAGGGTCTCAGAATCTCTAGTACAAACCAAAGCCAGATACTATGACACAGAGGCTCTGGGTTCACACTTTGTTTTTTGTTTTTATTTTCATGCCAGTTAGCTAACACACAGTGTTGCATTAGTTTCAAGCCTACAGCATAGCGATTCCACATTTCCCATACGTCACCCTGTGCTCACTGGATTCACACCATGAAAAGAGCAGGCATCCATCCCTCTAAGGCTGCATCCCAAACGCCCATCACTCGCAGATGTCATGCCTATCTCTGCAATGCACCTCCCAACAGCTCAGAAGAAAGGCGGCGCCACTGCGACGAGAACATTCCTGATGGTCATCTTTCCAAGGGGCTCCGCCTCCTCCCCACCGCTCTCTCAAGGACACTTGGCACCTGAGCAAATGGATTCTCCCCATACTCAGAAGCCCCTGAGAACCTCCCCCACTCTTCCCAGCAGCAAGGAATCCAAAAACCAACCCCAGGGAAGCCTCTCACGGGAGCCTCAGTAGTGTCTGTAGCAAATGCGAGGTATGTTCCTTCATACTGAGCGAAGTATCTTAGCACCTGATAGGTCCTGGTATTTAATCACATACTGAGTTCTAATTCAAAAGTCAAAGGAGATCAAGAGAAATGGTAAGACCCTAGCTACACAGAGAAGTGTCTCCCAACATGATGCATGACCCAGTTAGAGATTTCCTGGAAATTACTCAAAAGACACTCTCCCTGTTAGAAACACTCCCCTGAAGAGGCTTCCGATTATACACAACATTCATGGGGTAGAGAGGCTCTTTAAAGCCTGGTCTCTCCGGGCACATCCTCCCGAGTCAGATTTTTAGAGCACTCACCAGTTTCCATGGCACTGGCAGATTCCCAGCAGGAAAGTACGCACTTTCCTCCTGGATGCTCAAGTGGCCAGCTGTCGCCCAAAGCATGCCACAGCTGCTAGGCAAGAGTGATCAGTCATCAGAGCCGGACCACAAATGCTTACATGAGCTCCGGTGCTAAAACGGAGGAGGCAGGCAGCAAATTTGAAGCCCGTTCTCACTGCCTTGGCAAACTGAACAGTCCTGCGGCATGAATGGGGGCTAACGATACATTGTGGCAGGACTCCAGAT